AATCCCAGTGAGAGTCAAGTTGGGAATTGATAATTTCTTTCTTTTTTTTTTTTTTACAGAAGATCAGTTTAGTGGACATTAAGTAAAGATTTCAATCTTTGCACCCCCATAGAAACACAAAGTGAAATATACTGTTTGAGTACTCGTTATAGCATTAAGCCTCAGTGTACAGCACATTAAGGACAGAGATCCTACATGAGGAGTAAGTGCACAGTGAACAGTCCTATTAATTGATTTAGAAGCAGCTGCAAATATACCATTATTTCATTAAAAGAGAGTTCCTCAGAGAGAGGCTGTTTAGGATACCAATTCAGGAAACTGACTCCAGTGGGTAACCATGGATAACCTGCTGAAACTTTTCTTCTGTAAAATTGGGAAGATAATAATAGAACAGATATGGCTATTAAAAATCTTAAGTGACCTAATATGCAAATCCCTTTGACCAGTGCCTGCTATCTTAGTAGTATGTAGTAGCTATTATTACCATGGTTAGTCCCTCAGAAAAGGAATGCCCATTTTCCTATAGTTACTACAAGGCAACTCTACTCCCTGCCGGGATTCAAAGCAATCTATCAGGCCCTGTGTAACGAACATTCTGAATAGGTATATATGCTTTTTAAAACAGCTTTAATGATGATAACTTGCATAAAATAAACTGTATATACTTACAATGTAATATTTTAGATATATGAATACACTCACACAATGATCACTACAATAAAGATAATGAATATATCTATCATTCCCAAGAAGATTCTCTATTATCCTTTGCAATTCCTTCAATGGTCACAAAGATTTTAGCCAAGAATTTTTTGAATTTGTTCATATGTAGGTCAATAACCCATTATGACTTCTGTTATCATTTTTGGGGTGTTTGAAGGACTTTCCATAATTCTTCTTGTAGTATAAGTCTATTGGTTACGTGTATTTTCAGTTGTTCATATTTGAAAACTCCACAGTTTTTTCTTCTTTTTTGAAATGATATTTCCTCTGTGTATATCCATTGGCTTCCCAGATGCACTAGCAGGAAGCGAGATTGGGAAGTAGAGCAGCCAGGACTTGAACCAGCATTCTGATATGGGATGCGGCATCACACCCAAGTGGCAGCTGAATCTGCTGTGTCACCACGCCAGCCCCATGCGTTGTTTCTGACAAGAAGTCTGACTGTCTTCCTTCTTCCTCTCCCAGTCTCTGTCCCCCTCTTCCTCTTGTATATGGCATCTTTTTTTCTTCTGGGTACTCAGGATGTATTCACTTGTCATTGGTTCTAATCAACTTCATTGTGATGTTCATTGTCTACTCATGCTTACTGTGCTTGAGGTTTGTTGAGGTTCTTGGATCTCTGAGTTTATAATTTTTCTCAAATTTGGAAATTTTGACCATTTTTTTCTTTTTAAAAATTTTATTTATGGGACCAGGGTTGGGCCACTGCCTGCAACACTGGCATCCCATATGGGTCATGGTTCAAGTCCAGTCTGCTCCACTTCCAATCTGGCTCCCTGGGAGGGTGGTAGAAGATGACCAAAGTGCTTGAACCCCTGATCCCATTGGGGTTCTTGGATGAAGCTCCAAGTTCCTAGCTTTGACCTGCCCTAGTCCAGGCCATTGCGACCCTGTGGGGAGTGAACCAACAGATGGAGGATGTCTGTCTGTCTGTCTGTCTCTCTGTCTCCTTCTCCCTCTCTGTACCTCTTCCAAATAAATAAAATAAATCTTTTAAAAAATTATTCATTTGAGAGGCAGAGAGAGAGGCAGAGCTTCCATCTGCTGGTTCACTCATCAAATGCCAGAAATTGCTGGGACTGGGCAGGGACAAAACCAGTGGCTGGGGATGCAACCCAGGTCTCCCACATGAGTGGCAAGAACTCAATTATTCCAGCTACTGTCTCCATCTCCCAGGGTCTGCATTGGTGGGAAGTGGACTCATGAGATAAGGCTGGGTATCAAATTCACGAACTCTGCCATGTGACCAAGGCATCTTAACTTGCATCTTACGCACTCTGGTTAATGTTTACCTGTATTATTTTCTTAAAATATTCATTCTCATTCTCATTCTCTCTCTCACTTTCTCTATCTTTCTTTTAGAGATTCTGATTACAGTTATTTATTTTTTCCTTTCTAGATAGTTCCTCTTGCTAGGTTTTCAGGCTTATGAATTATTTTTTCTGGGATGTCTAATTGTTTTTAATCCTATCCAGTGGATGTTTCATCTCAGTAATTATAGTTTCGTCTTTAGAAGTTTGATTTCAGATAGATATGTTCAGTGTCTCTACTTAACACGCTCAATATTTTTCTAGCTTCTTAACCATATGGAATGCAAGGGTAATAACTTTTAATGTTCTTGTCTACCAATTCTATGTTCTGTATCATTTTTGGCTTTTTAAAAAATTGACATTTTTACCCTCATCAGCTGAAGCTTCCTGCTTCTTTGCATGGCTCTTGATGGGAATCTTGGCACTGAATTCTACCTTGATGGATTCTGGGTACCTGAATTCCCATAAATATTGAACACTGTCTTGGGAGGTAATTACATTACTTTTAAACAGTTTGATACTGTACAGTGTTGCAGCCTTTAGTTTTATTTTGCCAGCTACACATGCTGCTGAGTCCTCTTTCACACGCTCTGTGAGATGAGAGCTTCTACCGTGATCAGAGGAAACGAGAACCATTCCTAGCCCTCTGCACACTCCACAGGTTATCACTCCTTTCAGGTTTTCCTTCTGAGGAAGGCTCCACTCTCAATGGAGCTCCCTCTCCTCTCTGGCATTCTGCCAGCTAACAACATGAGCTACTGTGGCTTCCTCATACTTCATGCGGAGGCTAGCAGTCTCCTTGAGTGGGGGATGCAGATCTCAGAAGAAAGGTTAAAGGTCATCTTCTTGGTAAAATATTTTTATAGAGTATGACAACACTCAAAGCCACTTTGTGAAAAGGTGAATATTTTGAATATAGATATAAGAAGTCCAAACCAAATGCCAGAACTGAACAGAGTTATTAAATAAAAATGCACATGTTCATGCAGCAGGTTTTTATCAAACACCTACTATGTGCAAGCATGTCATAGGCCCTGCAGGTACAACAGTGACAATCTCTAAAAACAAGCAGAGGATGGAGTCACATGATGAACAGGCAAACAGACCACCTAGAAACTTCTGATTCTTGGCAAAGATGGCTTCCCCGACTGCTTAGATAGTCATGTGCCTATCAAAGCATTGTAAACTAGTCACCCAGTGAACAGGGATGAGAGCAGAGAAAAATCTCTCCGAACGATATATGCTTTGTTCTTTGTATTGTTTGCCATCCGCCCACTCTCTACTCTTCCATCCTTCTCCTGACAGTGATTTTCAACATTTTTTGGTATGGAGGACATTATTTACCACCTTCATCATTCAAAGCAACCCATACATACAGCAGCCAACCTAAAGGGGATACTTTCGTCTATCTGCAATTTATACCTCTCTGTAGCAGCTTAAGTCTCTAAAAAGCAGCCCTGCTTTTTCAAAGCTAAATCTTCACTTTACCATAGAAGTTGAGCAAAAATATTGACATGCAATCTGCAGAGATCCAGTCCAGTGACTCTGATCATATGATTTCAAAGAAAACCAGTTGCATCTCCCCCAAAGCACTTTGAATACCTCCAAAATATTTGAACATTTCCTGCTGTAGTTGGTTTTTGCCTACATCTTATTATGGTCACTACCATACTCACAGGCTTCAAAGCATAGAAAAAATAATGGCAACCTCTTCTGCCCTACCAGTCTAAGGGGAAAAAAAAGCAAGAAAGGAAAAGAAAAAAAAAAAAGAAAAAAGGGAAACATGCCAGCTAGATAACTTCGCAACAAATAGGTCATTTCAAGAAAAGACATCCAATTATGTAGACTCTGATTACGGGTAATAATTTTGAAGTGTTAGGAAATTTAACAACTTCCATTCAAAACAATTAAATAGAACTGTTGAGGATAAAATCATGGCCTAGACTCAACATAGCTACAGGTGCAGAAAGAATGAGCAGGCTCACTGATTCACTGCCCTTTCTGTTCCCAGTGCCTAATGCCAGACACATTGGATAGCAAACATTAAAGCTTTGTTAAAATTAGAATTCACAGGAGGAAACCATTTTTCAGTGGCAAGATTTTCACATTTGATTTTTCAATTTTGAATCCTGATCTTTCCAAGAGATAGATCTGACAGTGAACACATTTAAAGAAAACTTTCCATTCTACATGTGTGTATGTGCTTTATTTAGACAAGTCAAGCATGAGAGGTGGACTTTTAATTAATACCTGCTGGCCTCAATTGTCTTTGGAGGATGTCATCTTTTTATGGTAAATTCTTTCCTTAAGGATATAAAGGCTTATGGGGCAAATGAGCATCCTATATTCTAATAAAACAACTTCTAGTCATATATATTTCCTTCATCTAGAAATAGCTTAAATCTGAACTCAATTTGGAAAATTCTTTGGAGGAATCACCTCCCCTATAAAACATGGCATTAAAACTTTAGAAGGAAACCTTCCAGTTTTCAGAATGTAACTCTATCAGCAGAGGAACAATTATGGACTGGCGAACAGACAGTGTTGACTCATATCATGCAAGAGAAAGGTAAGGTAAGCAATATACGGTATTCCATTGCATTACCTGCAGAGCATACACAGTGTTTCGTATGCACCGCCACCTGCTAGCAAAACATTTATGGGGTATTGTATGATTGATGGATATTGTTGGTGAAGTAATGATTGAAAGAATTAATGGTTTAGTTTAGTAAGGTTAAGTGGAATTTCCACGTGACTTCTTAAAAAGACAATGGGATACACTAAAAAGCACCTTATCCAGGCAAATAAATCTCTGTGTTATGCCAAGCGAAATTTCTTTTAGTGGACAGCTACCCTTTTAGTTGGCAAAACCAGCTATAAGATGAACACATTTTCCAAACCCTGAAAGAATTATTTCTTGTCTTAAAAATGATGACAGACCATTAGGGTTTAAAAAACATCACTCACAGATTCCTTGCCCATCTTCTTTTGTAGCCGTGTTTGCCACTGGACGGCTTGCATGACAATGGCTTCCCACCTTCTTTCAAGATTTACGATGATCAGCTGCATGGGCTGGTGGTCTGCATTCAGATTGCAGGTGTCCCGGTCATCCAGGAGATGCTGGCATAATCGCAGGATCGAGGCCACTCCTCGGCGACGCTGCTTGATTTCCCGGCAGAGGGACTGTAACACAGAAACAGACCCAGCTGTGAGCGTTTCAGGGTAGAGTTTCCCAAACATGAAACACCTTCTTCCAGGATCATTTCAGATTCCAGTGACTTCGCTCAGATGTGAATACAGGACAAGAAGGGCCCTGAGATGGTCTTTGGATTGGAGGCCTCCTGGAGAGGCTCAGTAATGCAAAATAACTCAGCTACATCTCATGCCTTCGCTCTGTTTCACTGATTTCCCCCTGTGAAATTTAGGGTCCTGTTTTGACACCTTGGTCATTACCAATTTCTAACCTAATGAAATAAATCAAGGAGGTCACAAGAATGCCAACCGGATCGACATGCTTTGATTCAAGGTCAAAGGAAACACAAAAGATAGAAACACCCTCCAAAAGCAATGAAATGTCTTCAAATTTAGCCCTAGTACTTTAAGGCAATGAGGTCAGTTTTTCTACTGGCTGAGAATAAGTTAAATAAGATTGCAACGAATTTTGATATATAAAGTCTGTTATCTGAAAAAATAAGATAAGCATTATTTTTCTTCCGAAGCTTGATTAACAAAGCAATAATGCTCTGAAAACAGAAATTAAGATACTGGATTATTGCTGCACTATTTGTTGGTTGCTGCGTATCCTTTAATAGACATTCACACTATTTAAGAGGGATAAGCATGCAGCAAAATAGCATTTTGCCCCCGGAAGCATTTGTATTACTGCAGTGACCCTAAGCTGAACAAATCAAGCAAAGTAGTGGGTATACATGTCGAAAAATATTATATCCTTTCTTTGCCTACGGATACTGTGTAAGCGATATTCTAATTCAAAGCCTTCAGGAGAAATGATGATTATATCTACAAACATCATGGAATTACTAATCTCCATCTACTGCCACAATTGGACTGTTCTAACAGTTAACAGATTGCTTATTAATCAACAAGGGTAAACAAGACAATGCAATTTCATTTAGTGTGAGAGTTTTAATGCCTAGAAGTATTTGTGCTTAAAATGTTAATCTAGATAAGGCTTCATTAGAAGAAGTCTTAAAATGATTAAGTGCAGTTCATTGAAAAGTGCTCGGAGTGGGGGTAGTAGATCAGCAGCAGGTGGACACTGCACACAGATGTTCCACTTACTGATAGAATGCGTGCTACCGCCATTTAAATGACCCTAACTCAGTAATAGCTGGAATTCTATTATTTCTGTAATGAGAGAACCCTGTTCCTTTAATATTTCTGAATTTTAAATAAGGTGAATGACAAACTCCCAAACCTCTATTTATGGCAAAATATGACTAGGAATTTTATTATTCAATTTATACCAGTGCAGCAGGTTCAGTTATGTTTCCTGAACTTATCCTTATTTATTTTCCTAGGACTCATTGCTATTTTCCTATATAACTCTTGATATAACCACGAGGTCTGACAAATTTCTTTTCTGATGCTATTCATTAGCTCAACGCTGAATAAAGAGAATCCCTAGACACTCAAAGATGAACCTGGGGTGGGGGTGGGGGGCTACTAAAGCCATAGGCATTATTTTCAACTCCTCCTCTAATCCTGCTAACTGTCCCCACTAGACCCACAGGCATAGTCTCCTCTGTGTGTGTATGTGCGTGTCTCTCGCTGCCTCTTGTCTCTCACTCACCCATCCTCCTTCCCTCCTTCTCCCTCTTCTCCCCTCCCCTCCTCCTTCAATTTGTTCTCTTACTATAGAAGCACTGTTGGGCAGAGCAAACTATGAAGCCACCAACACATCTGCCAATTTTTGGCCAATATTAAACCCTTTAAGATAACATAACCAACTGAAATTGGCTCAAGTGAGACCTACAAGTATGAATATTGAGGATTTTGGTTTTGTTTTTAATTTTGTTTTTAATTTGCTGAAAGGGCTAGAAAAATAGACGTTTCAATGTCATAAGACTGTATTTTCCAAAACTGTTTTTGAATTTGGATAAATACATTACTCAAGCCAACAAAAAGTCCCAAAGTTCTTAGCCAAACTAAAATATGCAATGGATGTCAGTGTTAACACAGACCACAGCAGGAAACATTTGCACAGCAATCCAAATGAGCTTCATTCACTTAGCATGTATTTCCAAAGACGATCAACAGGATGTTTGAGGTTACTAAGGGAACTTTTCATTGGCCATAAGGTTTTTTGTTAGGATCCAGAACGTACCCAATATTTAAGTATTCAAATGTTCCTTACCTCTATCTCAATGCTAATCAGTCAAGATGAATACTGTGAGGGCAAGTGTGGACACAGTAGGTTAAGTTGTTGTCTGCAATGCTGGCATCCCATAGGGGAGCACAGGTTCAAGCACTGTTTGCTCTGCTTCCCTATCCAACTCCTGCTAATGCACCTAGGAAGACAGTGGGAGATAGCCCCTGCCACCCACATGGGAGACCCAGGTGGAGTTCCTATACCCTGCCTTCGGCTTGGCCCAGCCCCAGCCATTGCCACCTTTGGGGAGGGAACCAGAGGATAAAGTACATGTTTTCTCTCTCTCTCTCTCTCTCTCTCTCTCTCTCTCTCTGTAACTGTCATTCAAATAAATAAATAAACATTTAAAAAAAAGATGAATACTGTTGTTTTAAAATTGTGAAAGCAGTTACTGGTGACATTCAACACCTAATTTTTGGATCTTCACAATTCTGATAATGTTTGTAACTTTAAATATCCAAAAGGCTTAGTCTACATTCTTTATTCTACATACACACATATACATATCACAATTTACCCTATATACACACTCTTAAGATATTGGAACATTTGAGAATTTTATGTGGTCAACACATTTTTCAGTACCTTTTTAGACACAGGAGATTTAACTGATAAAATAGCATTCTTCACATAAACGGGTTTCTGTGACAGCCATTCAGAGACACATATTTCTAATTACAAACACATACTAAGTAAAATCAGTGAATTTGCTGGCAATGTTTCCTAGAGTCAGTAGCCCACATTATTTCCATGACAAACTATACATGGAGAAATGTTACATATAACTACAGAGGAACTAATGATGACTATAACTATTTTTGGCCTATATTTCAGAGCAAATGCTATTTTTCACATAAATTCAAGCTTAGCGATGTAAATAGCGCACAGAAATAAGACCAACCAGCCTCCCTGACCTTGTCAAATGAGTCCCACATCTTCCATTTGCTAGACATTCCTTCAGGAACCGAGGCCTCACAAAAGAGCAAGCTATGGTGCCTTCCCTCCAGGAACAGCGCAGTCCACAGGTAAGGCAGAGAGGAAGGTGGGATCAGACCTGCACGCAAATTCACTGTCCGAAGACACGATGAAATCTTCAAGAAAATGGCTGTGGGCCAGATGGTGCAAAACTGATGATGCTGGAGTGAAAGTAGAAGGCCTAGAGGCATGCAAAGGTGGAAAACAACCCAGCAGCCTTGGCACTAGGGGTGCCACGTGTGTCAGGGGAAATGAGAGAGAGAAGCAGCTGGGGAAGGAGGTGAGGCACAGAAAAGTTAGGCATCTTCCCCATGCATGCTCGTTTTGAAGCATTTCCCTTGTTATCTAATGCGATCATGTTGGTTTCCAGGCATAGCATTCATATCCCTTGCCAAAAAAGTGTGGCAGAGTGGACAGTGAGAGAGAGAGACAGAGAGAAAGGTCTTCCTTTTGCCGTTGGTTCACCCTCCAATGGCCGCCACGGCTGGCGTGCTGCGGCCGGCGCACCGCGCTGATCCGAAGGCAGGAGCCAGGTGCTTCTCCTGGTCTCCCATGGGGTGCAGGGCCCAAGGACTTGGGCCATCCTCCACTGCACTCCCTGGCCACAGCAGAGAGCTGGCCTGGAAGAGGGGCAACCGGGACAGAATCCGGTTCCCCGACTGGGACTAGAACCCGGTGTGCTGGCGCCGCTAGGCGGAGGATTAGCCTACTGAACCGTGGCGCTAGCCTGTCAACATTTCAATCGTTTCTTCTGCTCATATGACTGAGCCAAGTGTGATGTGACATCATTAGTGATATCAGCATCAGTTTAACACTACTGAAGCAAGCCTTTCAATACTGGCATTTCATTCTTCATTACATATCGGGTGAATGCATACCCTACATAGAAAGAGTCTATCTACTGGCATATATACACGCTTGATACTATATAAGTGACATCTACTTCACAAAAGTAGATGTACATCAGCTTACAATAAAAGATAAATACATAAAATGTAAGAATGAAATAGGGAAAAGAAAAATAAAATGATACTCATAAAACACCGAAACTAAGCATATGTTAAAATCAGAGGAGTAAATCTGAGAGCGTCCTAAACAAGCTGTCTCCAATATTCCTTACATAGTTTTGTTCAGTAGGTTAACTTAACATTGCTTGGCAGATCACTGTGAGCAGTGATGGGGCTTTAGATGATCTGTTAAATTTAAAGACAAAAAAAAAAAGAAGCAATTCCACTCATAGAGGTAAACATTGCTTCACTGTATAAACTAACACAATTTATCAAATTTTGATAAATTTCATCAAAAGTATGCCTTCATGTGGCAAGTGCATCAAAGCATGATCTACATATTTGATATGTGCCTGCCTTCAGTCTAGTTACAGTGAGGAAGCAGAAAGAAAAGGCAAACAGTTGGGTTCCTACAGTTTAAATAATGTCAAGAGGGCAGCTCCATCTCCTAATCTGAGAGTTTCCTATGCTTCTCCATGTTTTTTTTTTCTCTTTTGTATTTTCTATGTAAGTATTTTACCATTTTAATTTCATAAAGTGGACCGTTGTTGTCTCTTTGTCTAACACCTATGGCTAGACTTTCTAGAGCAGACGTTCTGAGTGTGGTTTTCAGGCCAAGCAGTCCACAGACACCAGGAACTCCTTAGAACTGCAAGTTCTCCGGTGCCACTCAACGTCTTCTGAATCAGGAACTCTGGGTGAGTCCCCCTAGCCACGATTTACCAGGCTTTACAGGTGATTCCAATGCATGCCACAGCTTGAGAACACTAGTGGACAGGAGCCAGTTCTGCTTTTCATGTAAGAGGATG